GTAATAAGGGTTAACCGGAGAGGCAGTTTCTGTAATCAGGGCAATAAAGATTATGCTAAAAACAACACCAGAATGTTTCCTTCCTCATAGGATTTCCTTCCTCTAAAGTGGAAAAAAATAAAATGAGTTTTCTTCCAACAACCGGTTCTCCTGAACAGGTGCAAATTGGCTGAATCCCACCTCTGGTTACATCTCCCTGGGCAGAGGCTCTTCAGTTAAGCTCTTCATTGGGGCTGTTAAAAAGTCAGGAGAGCAGATATAGGGACAAATGTTGAAATCCACAATCATCTTCTGCTTTCTCAGTAGATAACATCTCTGGACCTGGAAAACCTTATTGGCCGGGTGACTTTGTAACCACTGCCAGTGAGAGCGATGGCCACCCTGGCTCAGAGTCGCTGCGGGTAGAACCAATGGGTAAGAATGACCGGCTGGGACTGACAGAGGAGTTGGCCAGAGAGAATGGAGAGGGCATCTTGGGCTCACTGCCTCACCCCACTGCTCAGCCCCAGAAAGGTAAAAAGTTAGATTCTGGGAACTGTAACACCGACTGGTCTGTTTTACCCTAGCCATTTTCTCTTGAATTGCACTAAATACCAAGTTGCATTTTGCAATTGCTCTTATTATTCAGGAGTGAATTCAGCATCTTAAGTCTCTCAGACCAGATAAATATAGATTAGGTGTATGTGAATTGTGGGAATTAATAGAAATAATGTCTTGCCTCTCTGTATGATTGGAAGCAAACAAAAAATGTAAAAATGTTTTGCAAACAAGCATTTTCTCTGGTGTGACACAGTAGTACAGAATTTAGATTTATAGGACATGACCTTTTAGTAACCTTTTAATCAACGAATCTAATTGTGTGTCATTCTTTGGTATTCACCCTGGATGGACTAGAAATAAGATTGGACCTATAGAAAATGCTGGGAACAGGCTGTTCCTCCATCATTTTAATGCCTATTGGAATCCTATACAGACAGCATAAGCAGTTAATAATGAAAGAAAAGAGCTCCATTACCAATATTAATATAAATATATTAAATTTAAGCATCATGGTAATTCATTTATAGAGCATAAACTGCAGTGCCTATTAAGAGATACAATATTGGTTATGATTAATTTTCCTGTTAATAAAACTAGCTCTCTTTGGGCAGAAATAATGTGTCATTGCAGTCTTTGGTGAGAAAGTTCCATAATACTAATTTATAAGAGTTTATATACATTATACAGATAAGCTGGCAATGGCAATTCTTGTAAAGTTAAAGACTGCACTGGAATGAACGTTCTCCAAATTACCAACATAGAAATGACACAAAAAAAATCTGATTTATTTTAAGATCTTGCTCCAGGTGGGCCTAAGACCATGGGATGTGATAATATGATGAACAAGAAAAAAAAAAAAAACCCCAGATAGCCTTTAGTCATTAATTTCAAGACCATTTTAATTTACCAAGAGGATTGGATCGTGGTGCCTTTAAGGTTTGGAGATGAAAATGGACACAGCTCTGCGTTTTGTTTTTTACAAGTAGAACAGGGGTGCTTACATCTGGCCCACAGG